TATTTTAATCAACTGCTTCAAGGAAAACTAATGGAATATTCTGGATGTAAATCATCTAAATGCCCTGAAAAGCGGTATGTTCAAATTTAGATATGAACTATCAATTTACCAGGGTTGACATATAAAGATATCTTTGAAGCAAGAGACAGCATGAGGAGATTTTATTCTTGCTTCTTTTTATGTTTGACTTGCTGGCATGAATTATTCTACATATCCAAACTTTGGAGTGATTGCTCTAAGTTTTGGATTTCTGAAGGATGTGTGAGAAATATGCAGTGTCACATTATCAATTCCAGATTCTCATCAGCCTGGTAATAAGCTAATAGAGTGACAAGGTTTTATACGGTGTATTCTTTATTGTCACTGAAGTGAAATCTCTATACTAGGTGAGAAAATTGTCCTCGTGATGAACATAAGCTACAAGAACCAAATATACTTTGTCTAAAACAATCCTATTGATAACCAGTAACAATTATTACTAGCAATAAAACTACAGCTTTATTTATATCTTCCTTCTCAAATGAAAACATAGTTCACAAACATCACTTCTCCGCCTCATTAATCTTTACTATACCCTTGTGAGGTATAGATTTATTAATGCTAAAGTACAGTATTAACATTAACTAAACTGAACTATAGTTATAAATATTCATTCAGGGAGAGCTTAAAATGAAAGATCCTCATGGGTCAACATTTAGACATGTGACGGGTAGGTTAAAATGGGAAGATGAGCAAGTGTGCAGCAGATGCTCACATCAAAATATTTTTTAAAAAAAGCTTTATAAATGAATCAATAACTTCATGATTATATTCTAGTTGTATTTAAAGAAACTGGTATGGTTTCATGTCAGCCTAATTAAACTTGCTACTGAGTTTATGTAAGGATGTTGTTGAGATCTCTATATAAAACCTCATTTGAGACATTTCTATGAGCATTAGATGTCAAGAAAAGACTTTCTTCCCTTGAGGAAATTAGTTCTTTAAATCTTTGCATTTTTCTTTTTGCTTTATCCATAACTCTAAGAGAAATACTTATGTCTCAATCACAATAACTGCAATATTATGGCCTACACTATTTTGACTTCTTATTAGGAAATGTATTTTTGCTGGTACTATATTAATTTATTTCCATATTTATGTTTAGGGAGCCCTGGTGTTGCAGTGGTTAAGTGCTCAGCTGCTAAACAAAAGATCAGCGGTTCAAACCCATCAGCCACTCAGCAGGAGAAAGCTGTGGCAGTTTGTTTCCATAAAGATTACAGCCTTGGAATTCCTATGGGGCAGTTCTACTCTGTCCTATAGTGTTGCTATGAGTTGGAATAGACTCAACAGCAATAACTTTGGTTCTTTTGGTATATTTATCTTTATTGTACATAATTTTATATAGCAGATCAAATGAATCACCATGTAATGATGTAGAGATTAAATATCTTAAAATAAAATAATTATTAAACAAATTTATTTGCTACTTTGCAGTTGTTCGTATACTGGATGACAAGTGAATAGAAACAAAAGTTTAAAATAAGCAATTTAATTTTCTTTACACTTACTTAATTGTTCCAACCCCAGATATATATTTTATTATTTGCTACATTCCCAGCCAAAAGGTGGTAAAACTCACATCCTTATTACCACTCCCTTCTAAAGCCAGGAGCTATGATGATATCATTAGCTTTTGATACTGGTCACGGTCATCTTTGCCCTGTCTCAAATGCACTTAGGAAATTTAGCTCTAGACCCTAACTTTAGATAATCTAATAAACAAAGAGAAAATTATGAGGGAAATGTTTACCGTATTTTTACACAAATAACATGCACGTGCTACATTTGTTTTTTGGAGTTTTTTTTTTTTTTGCCAACCATAACCTCCCCCGTCCCTCAGGTATTTTCATCAGCACACTATGCTAATGTTCTTACATGTTGGCAAAAAAAGTAGAACATGTATGTTATTTGTGTAAAAAATATGGTATTGAAAGAGAAAATATGATAATAATAAAAATACTCACAAAAATTACTATAAACCCCAAAGTTCCAGATCTATAAAGTGACCCAGTGTCTCCTAAACTCTTAAATTTCAGTAAGAAACATTAGGTGAATGATTTATTCCCTAAACTTGAGCAATGAGAAGGTATGCAGAACACTGTAATTACATACTAATTGTTTCCAGTATTTATTTTTGTCATATTTCATAGATGTCAATAATTTCTGAAGGGTAGCTGATGAAGCATATGAGGATTACTGAAAAGATTACAATGTAATTAAAGTTTGGGTGAAGAAATAAAAATCAAATTGAATATGCCAAAAATGGAATACAATACACTTTCATGTTAGAATAAAGGAAGATTGAGCTCTATCAGAGTTAAATTAGAGGTATCATCTGTATACGGATTTACATTTTATGACATAACAAGTCATACCTTGGTTATGAGGGGGAAATGAGTGAATGAAGCACTGAGAGCACTGCCTGGCATAGAAGTAAGCACTTGGTAAATATAAGTTATTCATGTGAACTTGAGACCTAAAAATAGGAGGGATTTTTTATTTTCATACCTTTCGCTAAACTGGTTTAGCAATAATGAATGTCATATTAACCACCACTAGAACTACTTTGGCACACGCTGATACGCACCTCTAGCACCTAGATTTTAGGCTCTATAACATCATGGTCAGTGCCAATCAGCTGAATCAAAGTAGCTGGGGAAGGGGGATCAAGATGTTGTTAGTGGACAGCTAGAATATTTTAAAATATATTTCTGGTTTAATAAGAAAGCAAGGAATCTAGAATTAAGGAAATCCCAATAGTCAAATTATGACAATTTATATAATTATATGAATAAGTTGAATCCGTAAAAATTGATGGAACTCTAATGATACTCAAACCCAGAAAGTTTAATCTATTATGTGTGTATGTATATGCATAAATTTCATGCAAAAGAAAGATGACTATAATAGGATATGTTTAAATCTTATTAAACTTAATAAAATGTGAATGTTAGTATACGTGTAACTTTATTGTTCATTTAAATACCTACTTATTTATAAAATAATAGATTAGTACTTTTTACCATGAATATAGATACCTATCTGATGGCTATAGAACACCAGGCAAGAAGTCTTATAGCCACAACCTTTTAGGCAAAGATATCATATTCTAAATGGCAAAAAAAAACAAAACAAAAAACAAAAAAACACAAACCTGTTGCCCTAGCATCAGTTCCAACTCAAAAGCCTACGTAAAAGTATAGATTTTGAAAGTGTCAATGATATAACAAAAATAAAGTTCAATTATAAAAAACGCTCAAAGTCCCTGAGTGGTGCAAACGGTTAACAGGCTCAGCTGCTAACCCAAAGGTTAGAAGTTCAAGTCCACCCAGAGGCACTTAAGAAAGGGCTGGCCATCTACGTCTAAAAAATCAGTCATTTAAAACAGTATAGAGCATAGTTCTACTCTGATGCACATGGGACTGCCATGAGTTGGCGTCAATGACAGCAACTGGTTATTGCTTTTAATAAAAGAGGCCTAGTCTGCTAAACAAGGGTGTTAAACAGGGAGAAACCAAAATTCCGTTGGCTGATAATTCAGAAACTGACTTTGGATTGGTCCTCCTTTCTATCTGATTTCAGATGAAGATAGCACTAGCAAGGTGTAGAAAATTGTATCTGATAAAGTTATTCTATAACATATAGTAAAATTAAGGTATAATGTACGTGGATATGTTCTTGAGTTTATAGGAAAAGTCTGGAAGAACGGCCCAGAATTTTAATGTAATTATTTTTGGAGAATGGGACTTGGAGGCGGAAAGGTATCTTTCTGTACTTTATATACTTTGCATTTTTCCCCAGACATTTATCACATTCTCTATATTTGCTGTATCTGTCTTGAAAAAGACTGCTCTGTAGAACAAAGAGATGATTAGGAGGGTTATTTACTTTGTTTTATCAAGTTACTTTGTTAATGTGTATACTGAAATGTAGTCGATTCTGTATTACACCATATAATATTTTCTGAAATAAAAGGAGTTTATTTAGCTTCTGTGATGGCATATTTGAGGTATGTAAATGTGCATTTATGATTTTCTTAGCCAAATCTTTAAAAAATAATATTTAGATTTTAAAATAATATTTAGATATCACCAGGAACTGGCTCAGTGTTCTCTAGACTGTATCCATTATAATTACTTTATTCTTTGCTTTTCTTATTCTATAATAGAGTGTCTGAATTCTGAGTTAAATAGAATGGGTATGTGAGGAAGATTATACACAGAAAAATCAATTATTACATTCTTTTGGGTATAGTTTTTTAAGTTAAAAATCACTTTATGATTAATTATGTAGCCAATATAGTTACATATGAATTATTAACACAAAGATTCCTGGCCCTCCTATCCATTTTTTTGAGATTATAATCCTCCAGAATTTAAATGTAAGTAGAAATATTTACTGAGATATAATGCTAAAGATTTTTTTCCCACATAGTAGCTTATTCTAAATTTGGTGTAAGTCCTCATTATAAGTGAAATAATTTGAAGATCTTTTTTCCTTTGGTTACCAGCCTAAGAGCAAAATTTTATTTTATGTTATCTTAAGTCCTGAGGATTCTATAGCAAATAATCTCTACAGTAAACAGTTTAAGAATGAATGCAGATATTTAAAAAAGCAGACAGGGAGAATTACAAAATCTCTCTCTTTTTTTAAAACTAGATTTCTAAATATATTTAAAATCTAAAACTTTATCTGCCTTCACGAATAGAATTTTAACTCCCCAGACTAGTACACTGGGTTTATTTAGAAGACAGTAAACATTTCAAGGAATTTCAAAATGCCCCAGGAGAAGACCATTGTTTGCATAGCTGTAATCCTTACCAAGGTTTTACCACTATTTTTAAATTTGAGGTCTTAACCTTTTGCCCAACTGAAGTTTAAAATTATGTATACTAACTATATACATATATATGTAACATTTTTTGTATGTATGGAAAAAGCATATATACTTTACTCACAGGCAAATTGAAGTATGGCTTCTTTACTCAGAATACTTCCAAAAGTGTTGGCTGCTAGACATTGATAATGACCAGAATCCTTTGCTTCAATTGGATTGCTTATGATGAAGGTGCCGTCTATCAAACTGTAGCGATAATCACTTTCTAAGTCTATTTCTGTTCCATTTCGAAACCATCTTAGGAAAAATCAGAAGACAAATATGTAAAAGTTACTTGAGGCATTATAATACTCCCTGGGAGTGTCAGAATATTATTCAAGGGAATTTTTTAAGGCTTAAGAAAAATTATTAATAATGAATTTCTACCTGTAACTGGGAACTGGGTTGCCACGAACTTCACAATTAAATGCTACTTTCTTTTCATCAGAATCAGTTGGGAAGATGACATCATCTGGTTCTTGTACAAACACTGGCCCGTAATCCACACTTTCTGTAAGGACAAAAAGGATATACTTTAAAATTCCTCAAAATATCAAGACATTTTGTTTCTTTTTCCATTATTTACATTAAAAATTCTTTCTTTCCTTGCAATTAATAGACAAAGTACCAAAAGAAAGTTATAGCTAGCAAATGATATTTCTTTAGTAAATTGCAGAGACCTAAATTGATTTTTTTTGTAATTGATTAAACAAACTTTGAAAGGTATGATGTGTAAGGAAAAAATGAACATCTAAAACATTGATGGTGTATATTAAAAAAAAAAACTTTCTCTCTCTCTCCATATATATATTGTACCTTACATGCTCTAAAACAGAACTAAGGAAAATTATATTAAACACAAATTTTTTTAGAAACCTCCAAGTATTTAAGTCTCTTACAATTTTAAAAATAATGCACAATAAAGAAAAAGTCATGAATTAATACTATCACCACTTGGGCATTATATATATCAAAATATTGATCCTTATGCTTTCTTTCATATCTTGCTTCCTTCACTCATTCAGTCAAGCGCTGTTTACTTGGTACTAATGATGCTGGAGTGTACGAAAAAAAAATAGGGTAATGCAAATAAGAATTAATCCCTGCCTTTAAGGTGCTTATATTCTCATGGAACAGATGAGACATGTCCTCAAAATAAAATGTCAAAACAATATAAAATTAACTGTTCATCCCAAGTAAATATAGTTAATAGGAGATCAGAAGAGAAAAAGCTTGAATAGGAAAGAGGAGGCGCACTCAAACTTACTGAGTGCCTGCTATATGCAGATAGCAGATTTGATCTAATTTACTTAACACTCAGATAAATCCTTTGATGAAAGTAATTTGAAATTAACGAAAATTTCATGAAAAAACTGGAAATAGAAATGGATCTCAAATGTTGACTTGGAGTTGAAGAGTTTTGGGATACTTCTCCTGGGGAAATGATGAATAAATATACTGGTGGAAGTATAAATAAGGTCTGTTGTTGTTAGGTGCCATCCGGTCCATTGACACTCATAGTAATACCATGCGACAGAGTAAAACTAACCCTAAAAGTGGCTGTAACCATTATCGAAGTGGAGCCCTGATGGCGTAGTGGTGAAGTGCTTGGCTGCTAACCAAAAGGTTGGCAGTTTGAATCCACCAACTGCTCCTTGGAAACCCTATGGGGCAGTTCTACTCTGTGCTATAGGGTCGCTCACTATAGGGTTGCTATGAGTCGGAACTGAATTGATGGTAACAGGTTTGGATTTTTTTGGTTTATTTTGGAAGCAGATTGCCAGGTCTTTGTCCTGTGGAGCCACTGGGTGGGTTCTAACCGCCAACCTTGCAGCTAGGAGCCCAGTGCTTAACCACTGAACAACCAGGGTGCAGTCATGTGCCCAATTAGGCTCTCTAGCAGCCTGAATTGTGAACTAGGGAAAAAGTAAAATGTTCTGCTTTGATTTTATTAATCATGAATTCGATGACATGATGGTCTTAGATCAAGATTTCTCAACCTTGGCACCATTAACTTTTTGGATCAGAGAATTCTTTGTTGCAGGGGGATAACCGGTGAATTGTAGGATGTTTAGAAGCATCGTTGGCCCCTACCCACTAGATGCCAGTAGCAGCCCTTCCCAAGGCGTAATAACCAAAACAGACATTGCTAAATTTACCCTGGGGAGAAAAATTCATTGAAAACCACTGCCTTAGGTAGATGAAGAAAGAAGACTGCAGGAAAGACATACTCCTAATGTCTATACTAAACAATTGGACGTTTTCATCCTCGGTGGATAACCACGAGAAAATATCAAGACAGAAAGGCAAGAATGAATGTTTCAGGAAACTAGAACTTAAAAAAATATTACTAAAAAAGATGTACTCCTTAGAAGAATAGATTCGGAGTAAATCGATTTGTTTCTTTAAACTTACTGTTTCTCTTCTTTGAAGCAAAAGAAAAAGAGTACTAATGATATTCTAAACATTCATCCAATAAAAACTGAATACTTACAATGGGCAGGTACTTCTTTTGGATATCAAGTACTTTCTAACAAGTATTTCCTTAGAATCCTAAATAACTTATCTGAAGTTTTTTTAATAATTAAAATGTGTATTTTGATATCAAATTATATTGCTGCTGCAACTAAAAACTCTTATTCAACAGGGAAAAGGGAAATTAATGGTCTAATAATAAATAGAGGAAATTACTGTCAAAATGTATCTGTTGTTGAATCATAATGAATTTATAACAATTTGGAAAAGCATATATAACTGTCAAATACCCAATTAGAATTAAATAACACAAGCAAATAGTGGAAATTAATACCTTCTGATCTTTACACATTGAAAACGTGATTATTTAAATTAATATTGTATATTGACATGATACATAAAATTTACATTTAATAAGTAGTTTTTATGCTTTTTTATAATAGAAAAACCTTGAGCTTTAGAATCAGTCACACTTGGGTTCAAATTCTAGTGCGATCATTTTCTCACCTTGGACCAATTCTCCGAGCCTCTGCTGCTATATCCATTAACTGTAGATAATAATGTTTTCTTTACAGTATTTTTATGAAAATTGATTGACATTAACATTTGTAAATACCAAATGTATCATAAGAACTCAATAAGTTAGAGCTAATAATAACATTTACTTGTAGTGCAATTACAATATGCCAAGCATTATGCTGAATAATTTACATGCAGTATCTCACTTCATTGTCACAACAACCATGTGGCTAGGTTTATTCTCCCCATTTTTTGGTGATGAAACTGAGGCTGAAAACAATTAACTCAATTTACGTATCAATTAAATGCCAGACCTGGGATACAAAGCTAGGGCTATTAAAGCCAGAACATAATTGCTACCATACTGCCATATTTTTTCACAAATATACTTCTTTTTGCCAACCATGTGTTATTTTCATAAGCATGTTATGCCAAATTTTTTTACGTTGCTGGTTTCAATTGACACCAAGAAGACATAATTAAACAAATAAGCAGATATAACATAACCTAATGGTTTCACTTGAGGTAATCTGATAAGGTTTTCACATTGAACTGTTGGGCTAATGTGCTGTAATTATTAAATTAATGGAAACAAATGCATGTTTTTGATTATTTTTTTCCCATTACCTGGGGACTATGAAACTCAATGCATCACTTCTTGACCATGGCTTATACCTTTATTATACAGCTATGATCAAAAGTAACATTGTTGGACTATTTTTGTACATATAAGTAGGAGACTAAAGAAAATGAACAGAAAGAAAGAAAATGAACAAAATGATATGATTTACCTGAAATATGGGAGGATGGGTGAACGAGACCAAAATTCACTTCTGGAAATGTTACGATACGTGCATAGTATATGCATGGGCATGCTATGCCAGAACTGTTTTACTTAATTTCATCACTTCCGCGCATTATATGTGTGGGTGCATTATTTGCATGGGTGTATTATTTGTCAAAAATAGGTACTACTGCTTCTTCTTACTGTTATTATATTTATACTCTTGGTCTGGAAGCATCTCAGCGCAGGAACCTCAGGTCCAAATGATGGGCTCTGCTCCCGGCACTGCTTTCTTGGTGGTTTGAAGTCCCCAACTCTCCACTTGCTTCCCTTTCCTTTTATCTCTTACAAGATATAAAAGGTGGTGAAGGCCACACCCCAGGGAAACTCCCTTTACATTGGATCAGGGGTGTGACCTGGGTTAGGGTGGCGTTACAATCCCACCCTAATCCTATTTAACGTAAAATTACAATCACAAAATGGAAGACAACCACACAACACTGGGAATCATGGCCTAGCCAAATTGATACACACATTTTTTGGGGGACACAGTTCAATCTAATGACAGGCAGTTTTACTCTGTCCTACAGGGTTGCTATGAGTTGGAATCGACTTGAGGCAACGGGTTTGGTTTTTGTTTGTGGTCACTTTCTAAGGCATCTTAAAAAATAACAACAACAAAACGAAAGAAACTCATTGCTGTGGAGTTGATTCCAACTCACAATGACCTTATGGAACAAAGTAGAACTTCCCCATCGGCTTTCAAACGCAGTAAATCTTCACAGAATCAGACTGCTGCATCTTTCTCCCACGGAACAGCTGGTGGGTTCTAACCACAGACCTTTCTGTTAGCAGCCAAGCGCCTAACCACTGTGCACCAGGGCTTCCTAACTCAAATGACAACAAATAAAAATGTTTAAAAAAAAAATGGACAGGAAAGGATTTTAAATGCCAAGTAGTTAGGCAATCTCTCTGTCTCTCCCTCTTTTTTTCCCTCTTACAAGTAAGGTTCATTGTAAGTGATAAAAGAGCATATGTCTATGTATGGCTTCCCAGACCCCAGAAAAGGGTAATAATTGATGATTTTATCTCTGAAGAGATTAGTTTTTAAAGCTGTTGTTGTGTGCTATCTGGTCCATTCTGACTCATATCAAGAAAGTATCATAGGTACATTGAATCTATTAGGCAGATTCTTTGATTCATTCATCTGAGGGAGTGAGTGCCATCTATTGATGATGATGATGCATTGTTTAAAGTAGTGTTCTTACATATACTTTTTAACTTGAAGGAATCTGTGACGTGGTGAAGACAGACAAATTCTATATAAAATTAAAGCATAGCAAAGATCTTGATACCAAGGAAATCATGATCTTTATTTAAGAAACCATTGAGACATTTATGTATCAGGCAGATGTCATCTCACACACAGGGCTAATTTCTCATTGGAGCAATATTTTTTAGTGGTTGTATTCTTTATCAGTCTTTTTTATGAACAAACTGCCAGATACCTGTATTTGGCAGAGCCCACAATATTAGTGGTTATTATATGTATATTGTCGGGTTCATTCCACAAGGAGTCTTTTCTTCAGAAGAGAATTGTTTCAATTTAGAAACGATCTATTGATTCTTTCCTACAAAAAATGATGAAATCAACCCACTTTCTGTCACTTTTTCCCATTCTACTTCCTAAATTTTCTCAGTTGTGTTTGTTAATCATAGTTCACACAGTTTCT